CTTGGTGTCATTTATATGAAGAATAACGTTGCTTATTTGTATGTCCATGCATTTTATTCCCATAATTAGGATTCATCCATATGTCCAGGCATTTCAAGTGGTAGAATATGATTGGCAATGAGCTTTTAGTTCAGAAAGGGGTGACCAGGCAGATTTGTTTGAGCAAGCTCTGTACCCTGCAGTTCATGTGCAAAATGCAGGGAGGGCTTTTTGAGGGGCCCAGCGTGACTTGCACAGAATGAATGCACGTCCTGTCTGGAGGCACATTCCCAGCCAAGGGATCAAGAGCCTGTGCTCATGGTGTCCAGTAGAGTTCTGGCTCGGAGACAAAGGGACACAGGGTAGTGATGCTGAAGGTGAGTGCGAAGTTTGGCCGCCCCAGGAAGGCAGGTCGGCTCTAGAAGCTGAATGCAACAGAACTCTGCAATTGATCTACACTGAGACAGAACCACAGAATCCCAGAATCCGTGGGGTTGGAAAAGACCTCTGAAATCATCGAGTCCAACCTGTGGCTGAACACCACCTTGTCACCCAAACCATGGCACTGAGTGTCACATGCAGTCTTTCCTTGAACACCTCCAGGGACGGTGACCCCACCACCTCCCCAGACAGCCCATTCCAATGCCTGGTCACTCTCTCTGTAAAGAACTTCTTCCTAATGTCCAATCTAAACCTCCCCTGGTGCATCCTAAGACTGTCTCCTCTTCTCCTGTCGCTGGTTGCCTGGGAGAACAGACCAACCCTCACTTGGTTAACAAAAGCTACAGAACACAGCACCTTTATCCATACAGGAGGTTTTAAACATTTTGGTACCAAGTCTCAGTTTGAGCACAAGTCTATCCCCCAGGAGCACAGCAAAAGGCAAAGCAACCAAACTAAACATCAAGAGATCAATAGTAAAAGCAAAACATAGTGGAAAAGGTCTCTCTCCATAGCAAAGCCAGGTAATTGCATAACTGTTCCAAGTGGAAGGGAAAAGGTCAACAGGCAGATGACAGGCTGGTGCTCAGGAAGCTCCTGCCTAGCAGGGGACAGCATTTCACAGTGCACTGGAAGAAAAGTGAATGAGTATGCAAAAGTGACTAAGAAAATGCCAAACTGTGTGAGAAGGGCTAGGTAAGACTGTCCCATAATGACACACAGTGTCATGGTGAGAGACACCCTCTAAACTGCAGGACATCTGAGGCAGCACCAAACTCAGCAGAGTGTTGGGAACAATGTCAAATTTAACAATGAAGTTGTACCAGATGGCAGAAGAGGGAGTCAAGGCCAGGACTTGGCAGAAAGAGGGAAAATGTTAGCCATCAGCCTGTCTGGATAGCAGCAGGAGGGATGAGATATATGAGCAACCTGGAGGACGAGCAGGACACTCACCAGAATGAAAGCACAGCAGTGAGAAGAGAAGGACTGTGCAGTGGAAGGCAGGTTTGAAGGCCACAATATGCTAAGAAGTACAGAAGTGTAGCTGCCTTGTATCAGGGACCACTTTCACAGGTCTATATGAACTCTCTGGCCTCAGTAGGGGGGCAAAATAAAAGAGAAATTCTTCAAAGGAGAAATGCTATAAATCTGGGAACTTAAATAGCAATGGAGCTGCAAGAGGAAAGAGGCTCAGCAGTAGCATAAAGACTGCCTGGTAATATTTCCAAGCTCACAGCTGATCATGAATATTATCTCTTTCCAACCCTTTCCTTGACTGAGTTTTGGCTGGGGAAAAAGTTCTTTCTGTTCTCAGCATCCTGCAAGGTCTCAGGTAGGGAACACCCCACCTCTCCACTTGAAGTCAAAGGTTGTGTGCATCTTCAGACATCTTCTTTCCTCCACCATGTGCTCACTGGCAGTCTCCAAGTCATTCAGGTTTTACAGACCCCTTCTATTCTGTGTAAGTTAATGCAACACCCATAGCACAGAACAGATTTGCATGATTTGATAGATACAGATATAGAGCACTCAGTTAAAATAGTCCTGCCAAATGTGAATTGTTTGGCAGGTAGAATGTAATTATTTTAAGCCTCTGCTCCGTCTTTAAATAGGCCTCACGCTCTTGATTCAGATGTCTGATAAAAAAATAAAAGGTAATGTAAAAAATGAAAAAACCCCCATCAGATACTGTTAATATCCCAATGGATAATGAAGACACAGGTCCTTTGGGTTGCTCCCCACTGTGGGACTGGGGGCTGTAGGGGTGAGCAGGATGTCTGGGGTAGGATCACTGTCTGCTGGGCTGCACCGTGACAGCATGTCCTTGGCTCTCAAGGAAGGTGAGAGTTTGATCCCGAGCAAATCCCGGGCATTAAAATCCTCAGATGGAGCCATTTCTGTAGTAACAGCTAAATTATAGCCCAGGCACTGCATGGAACCAAATTAGGGCCCCGTGTGATGTATTTACTTGGGCAATTTCACTTAACCTTGCCATCTTTTAATTGCTTTTATATCTTGATTTAGTAATTTCTGATTTTTTTTATAGGCCATTTATTGAGAAAGACCACAAGAGACCTGAACTGAGTAATTTTCTGTTTCTGCAGTTTTGTGCTGTAATAACAACAGAATCATCTGTACACACATTCTTTGAACAGCAAATATGTGTATCTGCAGTGGTTTGGATGTTTATCATCTTTGTAGCAGTTCATTTGCAGGACACAGTACCACCTTTGCAAGAAACTCAACTGACTTGCAGCCAAACCAGTGATTTTGGTTACTTTTTAATTTTATAAGAAAGCTGTTAAATTTTAAAGAGACAAAACATGCAGAAATGATGCAGCAAATACTTAAAATAGCAATTTATCAAGGTAAATATCTGATTGGACAGTGAAATGCTGGACTGCATATTAATATTGGCTTTTAAAAGTTGTAAACAGCAATAGACTTCTAAGGAAATACACTTCACAGGAAAAATTAGGCTATATTTCAGCCACTTAGTGTCACAGAACAGATAATTGAATTCCTTGTTTTCTTGTCAATGCAGTAATATGTAGCTCTTCTCAAATGTTCATGTAATCAACAGTTTTTATGCTGGTCTGCATAATTTTTCCTTTGAAAACTGGTCTTAGTACCATTTCTTCTGTTCTTACAAGGAGAAAGTTGAGGGTTTTTTTGAGTCGCAACCCACAGGTTACAAGCATTCAGCACAGAAACAAAACTCACTGAGGAGATGCTGCAGGTTTGTGCTTTATTTTCATACAACATATATTGAGAAAAGTAAAAAGGAAACATATTTTGAAAGAAGTGGAGCCACTTAGCGTGAAAGAAAGAAAGAAGAAAGAGAGCAAAGTTCGTCGGCACACGGCGCTCTTCGCTGTGGTGACTCGTCTGGTCCTCCTTTGAAATGTGGTATCATGGTCGTGGGAGCAAAATCAGTGATCAGAGGCAGTGGTTGCCATGACTGCTGAGGCACAATTAACTCTTGGAATGCAGGGAAATGGAGCAGGGAGGCACTGATGGCAGCTGCCCACGCCAATGCCACTGTGCTACTGGATACAGGGCGGGGGGCAGAGGGATCCCTCTTGTTCTGTTCAGGCTCCACAAAGTGCAGCACAGCCTTCAAAGCGAGGAGGTTGCTGGGGATTTTCAGCCACCATCTCAAATTTGGCTTCAAGTGGCCATAAAATGGAATATCCTGATGTAAATTGAAAATAGTCTCGCTGAGGTGGCAGTGGCACTCAAACAATTCCCTTCCGTGCCCCTACTGTAAGAATTTTTTTTCAGCTGTTTCTTTTGTTTAACGTTGTCTGCACAGTTTTCTACAACAGTTTAGCTGCTTTATTGGCAATGAGGAGGGACATAAAATCTGTTATTGCAAGTGAGAAAGAAACATATGCTCCATGCTTAATGTGCAGCTGGAAATTATGCATTAAAATAAATTTTTTTTCACATTCAAGGGGCCTTTTCTTTCCCTTCTTTTCTCTGTATCCCTAAACAATTGCTGGTTCTGCCATAATGCAGCAGTGTCAGGGGAAGAGACAGGAGGAATTGCTGAGGCTTTTTGGACCTTTAGCTGTGGAATGAACAAGGATGTTTTCCTTTGGGGCACTCTAGAAACCAAGACAGTAAACTCATCCAATAAAATAAGGATAAATGGGAGGCACAGGAGCTCTCTCAGACAGCCTTACCACCAAGGCCTCTGGGATTGGGAGCTATGGCTTGAAAATTCAAGCACTGGCTAAAGGGGGTGTTTGACAAAAAGCCTTTAATCCTGCAGGGGAGTGAACTTCTGTGCTGACTGTCCTCCAAAAAAACCACTGCTGTGCACTGCCTGCTGCTGGAGTCAGCCACTGGATGCCTCCACTGCCACCCCAGCTTGATTTAGGGACCCCCAGAACTTGTCACATCACCCCATGCACATGCACTTCTCCTCTTTGCTCCCAAATCTTGTCTGGGCTCAGCATCACGTGGGTGTTTGCAACCAGGCATTTCCCAATTAATTAGCAACAAACTGATGATCAGCTCTGAGTCTTCAATGCTCGGACCTGCAAGGATTTTTTCACTCTGTAATTTGCTAAATATTCAGCAGTAACAATCTTATGGTTTAACACCAAAGTACTACATCCCAATACTGTCCAGACAGAAGCCAGTGAGACAGGAATAAAACAAGCAACTGAGCTGCAACACGAAAAGGAGGTGCTGATCAGGGCCCGGGGCAAAAGCCTGGACAGGACAATACAGGTATAGATAGTCCTGAGTCACTTCTACTTTTTCACGGTGCTTTGTTGCCACCCGATGGCCTCATGCAAGATTGCAAGAATGAAATTTAAGAAAACATATTCTTTAAGAAAGGGATGTCTTGCATTTCATTAGACCCACTGAGAGCCTTAAAAAAAGCTTCTCAGATCAATGTCTTTTCATGCCCTGCTAACACAAGTCTCTGCTTCAGAGGTAAGAAATTACTTTTCTTTCCCCAAAGTGACAGCCACAATTGCAATATACAAAACAACTATATTTTATTTGTATTTAGAAGGAATTTCTTGTGTCTTTGGCAACATCTTTCCTTAAGAAGACAGGATATCTGGAGGATAGTGATGTTGTCAGGTCTGGAATCATCACTACCATGACAATGCTGTGATGCTTGATCCATTCATCCTGATATTCCTCTGTTAGCCCGTTGCCCCTTAGCCTGGCCCTCCTGACCACAGAAGATCATTTGCCTTGTGTGACACAGTCAATGTCCTGCTGTTGAACCCCAGGGGTGCCCAGCAGGCACCCTGGGCAATCCTGACCACGATCTGCACTTACTTTTGTCCCTTTTTATTTCTTCTCCTATTTCTTGAGCCTACCTTTCTCGGTCTTTTCCCTATTTTCCTCCACTCCCTCTCACTTAAACAATTAATTCCTAGTTATATTTTTTCTGAAGCTCCTAGTTTTTCCTTCACTCATACATGGTGTTCCTATTTTTGACTAGGTGATCTTGGACCTATACATTGTTAGTGATGCTGCTGCTCTTGCAAAGCTCTGCACCCAAAATGTTCTCATCACTCCCTGCAACCACCTCTGAAGTCTGGATGTTTCTCACATCACTTGCTCCTAAGTACTGGTGAAATCCAGTCATCCCTCACGGCACTGTCTGTAAGTTTTGGTGGCACCATACATTGTTATCTGTCACATGCAGCAAATCAGGATTCAGTCACTGCCAACACCCTTTTCAATGAGTGTCACCTCAGCTCAGGGCCTGCAGCCCTAAAAACATTTTTTTCCCTGCTCATCCCAGCTGGTTTTGCAATGTAAGCAGCTCTTACTGAGGCAAAACACTGAGGCTGAAATGGTTTGGAACTAAGGCACTGGGCTCCAAATGCATTGCTCTGGTGAAATCCTGGTGGGTGAAGGGTGAGCTCTGCCTTAGGACGACCCATGGGGGAAAGGGAACTGAGTTACCTCATGTCTGCTCCTGGGTAAGGATGTGAAGGGGAGGCATAGAACTGGCAGCTGTCACATCTACTTGCTTTTGATGCAGATGGATGAAGATGCTACAAAGAGGCTGTTTGTTTTCTGGACTGCTCTAAAGTGTTTCTTGTAGCCACAGTCGGAGAACTTCTTCTGAGGGCATCACAACCACTGTCAGATCACACTGCTCAGCTTCTTCACTGCCACACGCTATCAGCTGGCTGGAGGGCTCTGATACTTTCTGCAAAACAAATGCACTCACTCAAACACCCTCAGGCTGATGAGCCGGTCTGCTTGTCTTTCTGCTTCTCCCCACAAACTGTTCCTCTCATCCTTCCTACACAACTGCCCAGAGACCCAGTGCTCAGGAACCCTCACCCATCAAAGCTGCCACCTGCACTGTCACTTGAGCTGGGCATTTAAACACACTCCTGAGGGAGCCTTTGATGTCAGGTTTCTCCTCACCAAGGAGCTGAGCATCTCAGAGCTGGTTCCAGGGGACATGGAGCAGTGTTGCCAATGACACAGATCTGGTTCAGAGAGCAGCTTCTCAGGCAGGGTCAGTCAATGCCTCACAAGCACCAGGAGCATCTTCCCTGCTCAGGGCTCTGTGTTAAAGGCAGTGACAGCTGTGCAGCCAGCTCAGGGATGCTGGGTCCCTGCAGCTCAGCCCATCACGCTGGAATGAGCACGGCTTCCTATGTGTCTGCCTTTCCTGCCTGACCCATGCTCCTGGGAATACCCAGCACCCTAAAAACCAATAAAGCACAGTAAAAAAAAGTTACCAGTGTGTCTGGCAGGACAGCAACGGGGCAGCAGGAGTACTGAAAGATTTTACTTGTTTTCCAGGTGAGGAAAGGCAGGGTTAAAGCAGCCACAGCAAAGCCAGCAGAGGAGATGAGAGCAGTAACCAGCCACATGGATGTGTCACCTGGAAATAACAGAAGCAGCAAAACAAAACTTCTCAGAGACTGTGAGGACAAACACTCACTGCAGTCAGCCTGAACCCTGCACCCATCCTGGTGAGATCCCTCGTTGACACACTCCAGGAAAGGATACCCATGCCAGTGCAGGGGGCTGCACTCACGAGTCTCCCTTTTTTACCTCTCCCAAGGAACAAATGGGCACACTTGCAAACAAGACAGGACATATGGGGTGGAAATAAAGGAGGAGCTGCTGGGTGTCCTTGGGCATGACTACACCAGGGGAATAGGAAGCAGGCCTGGCTCTCACCCTGGGCTCTCACACACTGGGTCTGGCTGAAGCTGCTGCTCCTGTTGATGGCCTCGACGTACGACTGAGCCTTCACACAGTACTCAGCTCCTGCCTCCATGGTGTCCAGGTGAACCACAGACCTGACTTCTTTCACCAGCTTCTGCTGCATCTGCCCCAGAATCAGAAGAGAAAGCATCAGAACAGAGGGCAAGGACCTGTTTTGGAACAGGAGCTCTGCCATGATGCTGCCCAGACTTTACTGGGAGAAAGGAAGGAGCAGCAGGAGGTGTCGGTGAGGACTCTGTAAGGGAAGAAAGGGACAGCAAACAAGGAAGCACATTGGAGTGCAGAATGAGACCACACACATCTGGAAGGGTAGGAGGGGATGGAAAGAAGAAGCTGTAAGCCAGAGAGGCATAATGATGATGTTGGGCCTCAACACTAGACTGTAACCTACTCCCCTGGTGTAGGGGCTCGGTGACTAAGGTCCTGCCTGATCTGAGTGTTGTGCTGTGTGTGAGGAATATCTACTTTCTGCTTTCTTTCAACAGTTGAGGTACCTGGGGGGACTCCTCTTCCCAGAGAAGGAAATGTGGAAGGAACAGGCAAGCTTCTCCATGAGGGTAAGAGCAGCCCAGTGGTATGTGCAGTGATATGGCACACACCAACTCCAGGTAGGTCCTCCAGCCTCCCAGCAGGAGCTTGGACTGGCAAATGAGCTTTGGGCAGTGTCTGTGTGATCTCTCTGAGGGCTCTCTCTTATTACCCAAAACCCAAGGTTAACACTCACCCTCCTCTCCTGGCCCTTCTTCCAGTAGAGAACACAGAACTGAAAGGCAGGCCCCATCTCTTCCAGCTCCACTAGTAAATGATACCCATCTGCTATGACCTTCATCACAGGGGGGGTCAGGGAAGCTGCCAACACAGAGAGAGCACCATTATCACATCAGAGGCAACCTTTAAAACCCTCCTCTCTTTCCCAGCCTGGAGAGGAAGAGAAGCTGCCATCACAAGCACAGTAACACTAATGTGGAATAACAGCTGGTTGCTTCAGTGGGGCAGAAACCCCTCTGCTCTACCTCCCAGGATGTGTAGATGCAGTAAGAGACTTCCAGCAGGAGAAGGACCATGACAGGCATTTCAAACAGGAGCTTGGCAAGAGCTGAGTTGCACAGAACTTGAAAGGTTTTGAATTTTCTCCAGCGGAGGAACTGTCTGGCCTGAGGGCCCCACGTGACCGACTGCAGCAGAACCAGCTGGGCAGCCAGAAGCAGAGACACCAGATCAGCCCAGCTCTTCTGCTCCTGGGCATTAGCTGAGCACTAACACGCAGAACAGGAGCTGAGAAACCACTGTTTTTTTCATGGGGAATTTTGGCAGTTATTCAAAGGTGAAGGAAAAAGCATTATGAGCCTCAGGATAACTCTGGCATTTCACATGAATCCTGATTTTCTTTTAGGGTCTACATGGTTTTAGGTAGACTTGGGCTGATGATCTGCTGTGGCTTATTTTTTTGTAAATTTATGCAAGTGAATCCGCAGGTGATTTGCTTCCTGCTTACTTTGGTATTCAAAGCTTGGTTTTGCCTGGAATTCTGCCGGGAGGAATATTAGTGAAATAATGAGAATCGGTCAGGTATAGATGAAACTACACACTGTACATTTGTGAACTGGGAATCAAGACAAGCCAGAGATCATCTCTGCACTGCTTATCTATGCCATTATTTAGCACTCTGCTGTAGCTGAAATCAGTTTCAGCCTCCCTGTTTTCAAGAAAAGAAGGAAAGCAATGCATAGTCCCACACAGAAGAGATGTTCTTAATAGAATTTACTTTTACATCCAGGGAACTGCCACCAGTACTGAGCAATATGAAAACAGAAAAGCCAAGTATGTTCATGATGGATGTGCCACAAATGGGAGGCCTGGAAATCTACTTGTACTTTTAAAATGAAAGCTGAAATTCTGCCTAACGCTATGCCTCAAAGTTAAAATGGAAAATCGATAACATTATTCGGATGTTAAAAACAAATATTGAGCAACAAAGGGGCATTGCAAGATGCAACTACTAACCAAGTAAGAGCATTTCTTTTTAGCTCTGTGCTGGCACACTGGATACCAACTAACTATTTGAATTCTGATAAATGAAGAAGTGAGACTGACTAAATTGTTAGTTTTAAGAAGATCTTTTCGAAGTGTTTTCCATGTGTTATCATCCTTTATGTGATTCTACACCTACGCCTCTGACATTGGAGCTCCTCAGCCCGGAAGCACCGTGGGCTGTGCTGATGCCCTGACTGTCTAGGAACCCCATACACAACCTGTGGGCTGTGTTTGGATTCCTGAGCTCCTCTCAGACTTCATGCCAGGTTTCCTAAGAGATGTGAAAGCAGAGACAAGGGAAAGCAAGCGGTAAAAATGCAGAAGGACAAGAAGTTAGAGCGACTTTTCCTTCTCTTTTTAACCTTTGTCGTATTCACATTGCATCCCACTGCAAGCTGTATCCTCTAACTTTCACAGCTTAGCCAGAGGATTGTATTGAGGTCCCTGAGGCACAGAACCAAGCTGTCAAATACTTCACTGAACTGTGAGAAAGCTGCTGCTTTTCTCATGTCAGTCTCAGGAATGTCCTTCCCCTCTCTCTGCCTCACACTGTGGTCTGTGGCTCAACTCTGTGCCACCAGAGCTGCTGGAAAAGGGAGGGATTTTTCAGCTAAGGCACTATCTAGAATAATCTGCCACACCAAGTGACACATTCACCAACTTAGGTGACACTTCTGATGCTGCTCTGCTGAGAGTTCTGTATGAGTGAGGATTGCTCACTCATGAAGTAGCGGATAACTTCCAAAGACTGATGAAGGTTTAATATCAGGTCAGCTCTGGTCTAGGACAGGCATTTTCTGCCTTAGCTAGACCTGATGACTGCTGCCCATCCCAGATTGAGAGTTGCAGCTGAATAGTCACCTTAGCAGAGGTTTTCCACCATAAGTTTTTATTGCAGAAAGCAGTTAAAGACATGGCAGAGAACAGAGGTAATGATTCCAGAGAAACCCTGGAAACTGTACACTAATTTTAGGCTGCATCATGATCCTTGGGTTGAGCTGGGCCTCGGGCTTTGCAGGAGTTGAAAGGATATGGAGAAAATACCCTGCATTGCTAGAATGAGGGCAATTATATGGTTTCCATTTTTCTTTCCTCTTCTGAGGTTAGTTCATATATCTGACAACATGGGAGGAGGGAATTGGATTTTCAGGATAGTATAAGGGAGACATAGGGTGACATGGCTGTTTTCTAGAGTGAATGCTCCCATAGGATCAGGTTCTGGGCCCTTAGAAGTGACTAGATGACATGGATTAGTTGACAGCTATCCTAGTTGATCACAACTCTTTGAAATCAGGAGCAGAAACAACCAGCTTGCCAGAAGAAATGCCTGCAGTTACCTTGGCTGTCTTTGAAACCCTTCATATTCAAGCCCTGGTGTATTTGGCCCTGCCTCCTGTCCAAGGACATAGCATGGCTGTCTAGGAGTGAAACATCTCAGCACAGCATGAGAGGAGCTGAGAAGCAGGATGTGCTCTGTGGATATCTGGGCTTTGTGTGGCAGGCACCACACACAGAGTCACAGACACACAGAATCAGCGAGGTTGGAAAAGACCTCTGAGATCATCGAGTCCAACCTTTGACCCCACACCACCTTGTCACACAGACCATGGGACCAAGTCCAGTGACTCCATCACCTCCCTGGACGGCCCATTCCAATGCCAAATCACTCTCTTTGTAAAGAACTTCTTCCTAATGTCCAACTTAAACCTCCCCTTGCACAGCTTAAGACAGTGACCTCTTGTCCTACTGCTGGTTGCCTGATGGAAGAGACTGATGCTCCCTCGGCTACAACCTCCTTTCAGGGAGCTGTAGGGAGTGACAAGGTCTCACCTAAGCCTCCTCCTCTCCAGGCTAAACAACCCCAGCTCCTGAGGGATCCCCCCCCACCAAACTCTGAGAAGCTGACACGAACCACGCAGCTTAAGCCAGTAATGGGACTCACTGGTGTTGCGATTGAAGAAGCCTTTCAGGGTGCCCCACTCTGACCTCCTGGCACCAAGAGCTGCCCTCACCCTCAGGTTATAGGCCACGGTGGCTGAGATGTCCTCTGTGATGTTACACAGCGTGGCTGTGATGAGGGAGCACTCGGAGATGGGGATCCAGCTCTCGTTGGTGTACACTCGCTCGTACTCCCTGAGGAGGAAAGAAAGCACGCGGGCAACAGTGTGACAGGAGATGTACCTGTGACAGGGCTGAGGCTGCCTGTTAGTCCTTCCCAGGTAAAACCAGTACTGGGATGTGCTGGAACACCAGGAGTGTATGAAAGCAGTATGGGTGTGTTTTAGATTTATCTAGAGAACATCTCCCAGCCTGCTCATGAGCCAAATGCAGCTCGATGTTGTGGGAGGTGGGGAGAGCCAACGCAGTGTCGCTGCATCACATCCTGCCCACTCGTTTGACTTGATCCTTCTTAGTACCCCAGAATTCCAAAGCCATACTGTAATACAAGTCATAGCTCAAGATGTATCAGAAACCTTTTGTGATGTGTGTTAAATGTTTAAAAGATTAACACTGAATAAATCTCAAAAGCTTCCTACTTCTACATAAACTTTGGCTGATCTTCCTAACTTTTGTATTCTTTGGATAAGGGCGGGTTTCTTATGTGGAATCAATGCACACCTTGGATTACTCAGGTATTGATGAACCTGTAAACAGTCTCAGAACTGGAGTAAAAGGAATTCCCCCCCACACACACTTGTGATTAGCAATCCTGAAGTATCAAACTTCTCTTAGGCTTGTGAGCTGAATAGTGCTCAAAACATAAAAAAAAAAAAGGAAAAGAAAAAAAAGTAGGACTAAGTGTAGATAAGCAGTGTTCAAAGAGCAAACAAGAAGACAAAACCAGAAGTTACCCTTGAAACTCAACTGAGTATCTCACAGTTTCTCCCTGGATGATCACAGGACTCCAAGTTAAGAAGTGTTTCATGTTGGTAGAAAGAATGGAGATGTTCTGCGGTGCTGTCAGCAAAGCTTTTTCACCTAAAATTCCCAGTAAAAGAAAGAAAAAAATTGAATGTACTAGGAAAAAAAAAGGCTTAAAAGAATAGTACAAAACAGTGTTTTGCATCAGAAATACACACTTTTCATTTCACTACTGTCACTTCAGTATTTGAAAGTATTTTACAAAGAAGAAGAAGTGACAACCAAAGAGCAAATGACAGAGCAGTCAGGCTGGCACTGTGTGCAGAAAGGCAAAGGTGCCTTTTTCTTATTCCAGAGGTTTTCATTGCATCAGTGAAACTGTGAGAAAAGGTCAAGTCATCCAATTCTATTTAATGAAGTCCAGTAAAAAATGCTCTCTATAAACTGTTCCAATGAATGCCGTGATTCTGCAATTTCTCTCCAGATTGGATTGGACGCTGAGGAAGATCCTGGCTCTGCTACAGCTCCCTTCATGTTGCAGGATTCTAATAATGTGAGTCCTTGTAGGCTGCAAAGTACCTCTTAATAGAATAAACTTACTCAATGCTCTATAAATGAAATTATTACATTACTCTGAGATCATCAAAGCATGGGTTGGTACCCACAGTGGAGTTAATTTTATCCCATGGTATCTTGATGTAAAATCCTCAGCAGTGTTTGGAGCAGAGCACAGAAAGGAGGATTCCCCGTGGGAAAATCCTGCACTACCCTATGGGAACAGACTTATCTCTGTTCTGCTGCTCTCCCATCCCAGGACAATTATGTTCTCTCTGCCCAGCAGGGAATGGTTCCCAAGGAACCTGTGGAAGGCAGGAATGGGTGGAGTAGTTTCTACCAACCCAGTGTAGCAATGGCAAACACACTCCCCAAAACAAGGTAACTGTTCTATCCCAGTGTGTTACCTGAAGATTATTCTTTTATTAAATTATTTCACTTGACAGGTTTATAGTCCAACAGCCTTTGCCATTAAAAAGGGTGTCTTCTTTTGAGCCATGTTTATAAAGTTAAACCAGTTAACGTCAGTTGTTCTACCCAGGATCAAAATCAAGTTGACAAGTCCCTGAGCAATGTTTTCATGACAATTGCTCTTTTAAAGCATTGGAACAATATCTTTCTTCTTTCTGCTCTTAGAATATTCCCTGTATATATATATCTTTATAAAATCACTAATGATGTGGGGAACCTTGTTGCCAACTTTTTTACGCTTTTCAACATGTTATACAGATCTGTTGACACAACTCTCAGCTGTTCTTTGAGGTAAAATCCAGGTATTTCTGGGATGAGAAGTTTTCTTGCCATTTGGAGACCAGAGGAGTCACTCTCTGCCATATCAGCAGTTCTGTCACTTCTGGCTGCCTGAGGCTCCGTGTCAGTGTCAAGGCACTTTTTAATCTTTAAAAAAAAAAAGTCCTTGGTGATGTCAAACTGCAGCTTAACCACCCATTCAGTCTCTTGAGTTCTCCATGTTTCTCAGCATTTAGGGTGTTTGCTACTTTTCTTTGTGCTCTTGGTTCCCCTGTTAATTTTGGGAGCTGGCTTACCTAAGTGTGTGAATTACATAACAATCCTCATTTACATGAGCAGACACTGGTTTTCCACATGACTCATGCACACAATGAAGTTCCAGGTCTGAACAGGGGTGAACTGCACAGGAGTGTTTGTGTTTCCTAATTTTTTAAGTCCTTGACTTCAGGACTTTTTGGATATATATATTTGTATTCAACAGTACTAAACCCTGTCTTATTAAACTGTCCAGAAACCTATTTTAAAGGAAGATAGTTCTGAACTGGACTTTGGCTTTTAATGGCCCAAAGGTTATTTCATAGCTGCTTGAAACGAGTTTTCCTTCCCAGACTATGCTTAGCTTAGTCCACTGTTATCCTGGCAAAACCAGTGACTCTCCTACTGGCACAGTGAGACCTGTCACCTCATTTCAGCTGAACCACAAAAGTTCACATCCAGAAACTAAGGTTTCTTTCTTCCTTTCACTAGGAAAAACTCTGTACCTAATGCCAATGCATTAGTCTGTATAAAAGAAGTTCATTGGTTTAAGTTTCTGAAACTTGCTGAAAGTTATAGTTTGGAAGAGAGGTTCATGCTTTTCTAAAATACTTTTGATCTAGACATAATGTATCCTGTGTCATATCCAAACAAATTATATTCATGGTTTCTCCAACCCATCTGTTGCAACAGCCCACAAAAAAATTGTAGCAAATACAAGTTTAGCACTGGGAGAAAAGACAGTTCTAAGTTATATAAACAGAGAAAGCACCAAGTGAAAACAGGGAAGTACTAAAATAATCCATTAAATCTGGTCTATGCATTTTGAGGGAAAAAGAAACAATCATTAAAAAAGTACAGGGGAGAGAGCACAGGTAGGACTCAGGGGGCTGAGAGGCCAGGGCTGCACATTTCCATCTGATTTTGGATTCCCAAGCAATATGGAAATAGCCTCACAGGAAAAGCCAAACTCCAGCCTTTCAAGCCATACTGACTCTTACCCCAGTGTCTCCAGTCATGCCAAAGAAAGACATGTCCAGATTTTCTCTGTAAATAGCATTTTTTGCCTCCTACCCTCTCAGCAGTACGTTTGTTACACAAAGAATATATTTCCATTTAGAATGGTGATGACCCTTTTTGTATAATATTTTTGTCCTCTTTTTGTTAAACATAAAGAATTTACAATTAAAAAAACCCATGATGGAATCCAATACATTTGTCTCTCTTACTTTTCAGTTTAAAATGTCTTAAATAAACCCAGACAAAATTCCATTGCTCTGGGATAGATTTTGATATCCTTCTTGCTTTGTGAATACAGAACAAAATAATGTTTCATCATTACTTCATCACTACTATTACCACTACTTAGTGTTAAGTGCATGTGAACACTGTAAAAATATTAATACAATTACCTCTTTATTCATCATATCCTCTCCTTTCAGGGGCTCAACAACACAAGAAGAAACAGTAACTCTGGAATTGGTGTTACGTGGTGTCCAGAATTGCTTTACCTCATCTCCACTTTTCCTGGCATGTCCCTTAAAATTTTATTTATGGGGTTGAGAAATCCTTCCTCACTGCTGTGCTAATAAGCACTGTCTTTTTAACTTTCAAGTGTTGTATCATTTAATCTCCTTTTGCCAATCTGGAGGACAGCAATTACCCCATCTTCTTGTATCTTGGAGCATGGTCTGCCTCTCCATTTGAGGAAATATCAGGGAAGGGGAATCTGACAAGGGAATTCTGAATATTGGGAAAAAGAAAATAATGCCTATAACATCCCAAGAAGATAAAGGAATTTCTTTGTAAGCTAAATGTTGAAAATGAAAGCCAGGCATCCTTAACTCCTAGTGGTTTCTGTAATCAGCAATTAAGGACTATAAATAATAAGGAAGATATTAATTCTTTTTCTGAGGCAGAGAAAAAATGGAGCAAGAAACAACCTGAATGTTGTTGACACACCCTAAGATGGCACATTTAAGACAGAACTAGGCAAAACCCAAACACACTGGCAAACCATGTTGCTTTCTAGGGGACTGACCATCAAAAACCCCTTCTAGATGTGTTTGGTGTCCAGCATTTACCTGGAGAAGCAGATTACAAATTGCAGAACCTCCTTCCAGGGTAAAGGAGACCCTCAGTGAACCATTTTGAGCTATTCATTAGCACTTTATATCCTTCCTCTCTGACCCTGCATCCACTCCACAGGCAGGGCATCCCTGTGCTCAAAGTTATCAGCATTAAAACAAAAACTGAGGGTTCAGCTTCTCACAGAACAGCAAAAGAACAGAGACAAATACAGCATTATTTAAATTCCTTCAAACTGAAATTTCCCTTTAGAGTTCAGAATTGACCGGTAGAACACAGAATTTACAGATTGTTTTTTCATTTGCACACTCTAATATACATTTTAGAACAAGAATTAAAATTCAAGATCACCTGACCTGATACTCTTTGGCTTAAGTACTGCAGAGGCATGCTTAACAAAAGGAAAAAGACTTTGTTACTCAGAAACCCTTTGTCTTCTGCCTTAAGTGGAGATATTTTAGTCATTTACCTGTGAGATTTGATGCAATCAGGGCGCAGAAGAAGAAGCAGATGAGCTTTAGTGACATTTTGCTCGTGTTTGTCGCCTTTTCCCACGTTCATATCCTGTTACACAGCTCAGGAATTTCCCCTCCTGGACAGGGAGCCCTGTCTGAGCCAGCCATGGTGGGCACGAGGTGGAGCTCCAGGGGAGTGTGGCAAACACCTCCTGTCTTACCAACACCTCCTGTCTTACCAACACCTCCTGTCTTACAAACAAACACCTCCTGTCTCACAAACCCCGTGAGGGTGCAGTTCCAGGGAGTGCCCCGATAATCTGCTGCCAGCATTTCTTTACAGGTCTGTGCAACTTTCAACTAGATGGTGTAACTCTTCCATTAGCAATTATATGTCTTAAACAAAGGCATTACAAAGGAGGAAACAGGACATTTTGGATATACTCATATAGCTGTAAATGCTCACTTTTCTGCTCAGCCCCAAACTACCCAAATCCTGACGCTTCCAAGCGCCAGGAACGTTCCCCCATATTACAGGGGCACGTCTTATGTCCTTGCACAAAGCACTTTGTGCCTCTGGGCTGGCACAAGGGACTTGTGAGCTCCAATTTATTTTCAAATGCTGCTTTTATGATGGCTGTGTTGGGTGTGTGCTGAGGAGGACATATCCCAAGGTTTTTGCACCTTCCAAAGTCCGTTGCTCTCCATCTCACCTTGAGTGAAGGCAGGATCTTCAGCTGGAGCTCTGACACCTTCAGAGAAACCCAAACCTCCCACAGGCTCCAAGGCTGCAGCAGCAGCTCTCTTTGTGCTTGTTATGTTGGTTTCTTCAACCTCAAGGCCAGGGGAAAGGCAAAGTTTAGGTGGAAGCTTCTTATGTTCTGCAAAGGGTCATGTAAATTAAATGAAATTCAGACCGTACAGAAAACATGAGGAAAAAGCCAAATCCCACCAAATGATTTCAGCCCTGATGAAAGTGAGTGTAAGAAACCTCACTCCTAAACCCCTTCCTTGTTCTTACAGTTTGTCACCTCAGAAGGTGCTTTTCATTTCTTTAAAAAATGATTTCTGATACCTTTTAATAGCAAATACATGACTTGTTCTCAGTGGTGAACTGAAGGGATCTGTCAAAACATGTTTAGTACACATTTTCCAAGGAAAGAAGGGTTGTTTCTATTTATGAAAGAATAAAATTTGTATTCAGTTAATCAAAGGTCTCCAGATTTTCAGAACTGCAGGAGCAGCGCAGTCAACTAAATTCCCAAATTTGCACCTTCTTTCCATCCTCTCTCTTCCTTCTTTCACCTCTTCCTTCTTTCTTTCCTTTCCTCCTTCCCTTGCTTTCTCTGCCCTCCCTCTCCTTTTCTCCTTTCTGTCCTCTTTCCTTCCATCATTCCTTCAATTCCCTTCTTCCTCCATTCCTACCTCCCTTCCAGCCTTCCTTTCCCCTCTTCTCTCCATCTTTGGGACACACTGAAAGACACGTAATTCTCTACATTTCCCAAACCTGGGAATGTTTTCCTTTCATGGTAGAAGGATGTTCTCTGAAACACCTTTCAAGTAAACTTTTATCTTCTTGCTCTTCATTATCCCAATTTCCTTTTATGAAGTGTCTGTTCTGAGAACAAAAAGATGGATGTTGTGGTGAGTGATTTCATTATTGTTGTGAAATGAAATGTCCAAGAGGAAAGCATGGATGTGGTTAAGAGTATCAGCAATAAGATGTTCTGCTTTTGCTGAGAAGCAAAATAAGTATTTGCAGAAGAAAGGCAAAATTTAATTGTCAGTGGGGAAAAAACCCAGCAATCTGTTCCCTTGTTGTGGAAAGAAATTATAAATAAGGCAACCCTGAGGTCTGAGCTATTGCTCAGTTAGAGCTGGGCACCACATCTGGTTCTTCACTGGGTTATTCTTGTGGTGCCATAAACATGTGGGTGTATTTTGATTAAATATTCAGACAAGAGCTGAGAAGTATCTCAAAACCCACATGATCTGTAACAAACTGTGCCTCATACCATTCATTTTATTGCTGAAACAGATGCACAGAAAGGAGTTTGCATACAGTTTGCAAGAGATTTATTGGAACCAAGTACACAGCTGGAAGTATTCCTTTCCAAATGTTTCTCCCTGCCAGCCTACTTTTCATTTTCAAAGGTGGGAAAAATGGATACAACTCCATATCAGAGTCAATCAATGATGGGCAATGAAAGGGAGAGTGAGTCTGCTGTAATAATTAGGATTGCAACTGCCCTGAGTTATCAGCAGGACTCTAAAATGAAAATGGCAATAATGTTATACTGTATTTTCTTTCTTGATTACAGACATCTAAAGTGGGGTGTCTAAAGAAAGCTTACTGGAAGCTGAAGGTAGTGCATATACAGGGCTAAGGTGTGCAAAACAAGAGGCTTGGAATAGAAGTGCTTATTCAGATTACAACAACTATTAAAGTGAAAAAATACCTCCTGTAATTTCCCTTATTCTGGAATGCTGTATGAAAATATTTGGTTTGATAGAGATAAAAGAACTCTTTCAATTTTACTGTTTTGTTTCAGAACTTTGTCGGTTTTACTAGTAAATTCAAACTTGATGAAATAAACATTTTGACAACTTTTCCTTATCATTTATGGCTCCATTTATGTTTCTGTGAAATATTTTAACATTATTAAGCAAGTGTTTCTAAACTTACTAAAGATAAAAGTTATTAAACATGTTTTTCTAAAGATAAGCATCTGTCTGATTAACTTTGCTTTGTGAGTCTTGCCTTGCATTTCAAGTAATTCAGGCCAGTAAGCCTGGATACTGACTCCAGCGATTTCTCAGCTGCAGATTTGTCAACTTGGATAAGAAACCTGATTTTTCATCACAAAACAAGCACTGAGCTTAGTTAAAACAGTAAGTTAAAAATTCACAGATCAGTACAAGTAAAGGCAAGGGAAGGAGAGGAAAGGCAAGGGAGGGGGAGGCAAGGCAAGGCCTTGCATTGCCTTGCCCTGTCTACTTCTGTCTTGCCTTGCCTACCCCCTCTTTCCTTGCCTTTCTCTGCCTAAACCTCCTTCCCATGCCTTGCCCTGCCTACCCCTGCCTTGCCTTGTTCCCTTCCCTCCACTTGCCCAGCACTCCCTTGCCTTGCCCTGCCTACCCCTCCTTTAACTTGCCCCCCTCTCCCCTTGCCTTGCCCTGCCTGCCCCTTCCTTGCCTTGCCTTGCCTTGCTTTGCCTTCTTTCCCTGCCAAGGGAGGGGGAGGCAAGGCAGGGAAAAAGGCAAGGCAGGGGAGGGGGAGCCAAGGGAAGGCAAGGCAGGAAGGGGGCAGAACTGGAACTGGATCAGTAAGACACCCCAGGTAGTTTCCAACAGCTGCCTACTTTGGAGGCAATCTGGATTATCTTTACTCTTAGAAATCAATGCAAAATATTGCAAAACTGTTGAAATGGTCAGTTGAACAGAGTTTACCTTTAACATCACAGTCACTGGGCTCAGGAGACAGACAGAGATGTGGTTCTGTTTATTAAATTTCACTAATGCAGTTTGGGTGATACTCAAAATCTACATCCAGAAAAAAAAAAGAGGCTGTGCTGCCCTTGACGTGCTGCTCCAAGGCAGCCACCAGCTTAGCCTTGCCAGGAAAGAGGGAGAACGGGATAGAAAAACAATTGGCAGAATATGTAAGCAGAGTTGAACTTGTGGTATATTTAATAAAAAAGAAGAATCCGAAAAATAAAATTGATTTAACACTTGGTCAGACTTGACTTTGCAAGTGAAGATCAGCAAAGGGCAGACAAAGACATACTGAGAAAATGTGGAATTTGCCACAGAGTTTTGACAATTTTTGTTGCTGCTCATGAGTTAAAAAAGCTGCCTCTACCAGGAAAATGAAAAATTGACTGCCCTAAAGGCCTGTGAGTGTAGTTCTGTTTCCAGTGTGTGAGAGTGAACAGGGGAATTCTAAAATGGGTCATGACATTTGCCAAACATATTTGCAACAATGATCATTCTGTTTGTAAAACAAAGGAAAGAGCAGTAATGCAATAGGTAAGGAAAACAATTATTTGCTACTATGCTGAAAAAAAAAAAAAATGCTGCTCTAAAGCCAGAAAGACATTTAGAAATATCAAAGCAAAATATGTAAATCTGACTGGTTTGTTTTCACCCTCAGTAAATCACAGCAGGTTTAACTGGGTTATTCTTTATATACAGGTGAGTGGAAAGCACAGAACTGGTTAAGAAAGCTTGAGAAAAACCAGGTGTGTGGGGGGAGAAGTGGTTACCAAGCAGAATGATGCAGTTAGCTGCAGGAAGAGACAACATATATGAGAAATTTGAAAAGGAGTTGAAATATGCACTGTTAGAACTTGAAAGGGAATTACTCATAACCAAAGAGGGAACTTCCTTGGATTTGCTTATGATAAGAAACATATATAAAGGTGCAGTTGGTATCTTATAGATTCTTTCAGAGGAAAAGCCTTGTAAAGTTGTGCACCAGATGTCAGGCATTCAATCATGAAGGGCCCTGCATCCAGGGATTTTTGGGACTATTTCCACTGTTGTAGACCAGAACAGTGTTCCTGCATAAAATATAGAGGGGTATCTTGTATATAGCTTGGGAGCCTTGGGCAAATAACTTCTGTCTCTAAATGATGACAGAGACCTCTTCTCTTTGCTTGGCTTGTTGGGGTAAGATGGAAGCAGGAAAAAGGCACAGTTGCAAAATGTGAACTGGAGGGCCTTGTTAGAACTTGCCAAATAAAGTAAGTTTAAAGGAAAAATGGGCAAACATGTGCTTCCAAAGTGCCTTCTGGGTTTGTTCTGACATGGAACTGAAAGCTCAGTTGCTGCAATGTAAGTGGTTTGATGAGGAATCTGCTCTCCAGAGAACAGCTCACACTGCCTGGCCAAGAGCATTGTTGATATTGGAGGACACCAGATTATTAAGCAGCCTCCTCTCCATTTATAACCAGAAAAGAAAGCAGAGGTTTGACTGGTAGCTGAGAAATGCATAAAGAAATCCCACCTTAGCCCTGGAACACTGATCTGGGCAAAAAGCACAGCTGCACTGGTTCTCCTGTGGATTATGC